CAGCGCGGGGGCGGGGCCAGCAGGGGGCCGGGGTCCCCTGTGGGTGGGGTGCCGCAGCAAAGAAGGGCAGGGACACCTCCGGGTGGGGCGGGACCCGAGCCCAGAGGCCAGCAGGGAGGGAGAGGCCAGCGTGGAGGAGATGGGCGGAGTGAGCCAAGAGGCGAGCGCGGGAGAGCGGGACTGTGAGCGGGGCGCCAGGGGAGGCAGGTTCGCGGTCGGGCGGGCGGGGGAACTGTCGGAGCGGAGGGCCCGAACTGGTGTGGCCGGGATGGCCAGCGAAGGGAGCACGGAGGGCGGCCGTTCCGGGGCGAGGGGCACTCCTCTAGAATTAAGGGGCGTGGGAAGGGAAGGCCCTAGGCCGCCTGGGCAGTAAGCGGGATGGCGAAGGGAGCCTGTCTGACAGAGGGGCCGGGCCGCACGGGAGGGCGGAGAGGACTGGGAAGGGGCGGATTCCCGGGGAGTAACCAGCAGGGCGGAGTGACCTGGACGGGCCGAGCCAGAAGCCAAGGGGCGGGTTCCGTTCAGAAGGAAGGAATCGGTGTGTGAAGACGCAGTTTCCCTAGGAAAGGGGGTGGTCAGTGGGCTGCGCGCTGCGCACCTGGCGGGGGCGTGGCTGGGAGAGTGGGCGGGGCCAATGCTCGGAGAGGCGGGGCCAGAGAAGAAGGCGGAGAAAGGCTGGAGCCCTGGGTCTCGCTCCTCTACAGATCTGCCCCCGGGGTCTCCGCAGTGCTCGGTCGAAGGGGGTCCAGGCGACCGCAGCCTCCGCTTCCGCTGCTCATGGCCAGGAGGGGTCCCTGCCGCCTCCCTGCAGTTCCAGGGTCTCCCGGAAGGCGTCCGCGCCGGGCCGGTGCCCTCGGCGATACTAGCAGCGGTTCCCGCTCACCCCCGGCTCAGCGGCGTCCCCATCACTTGTCTTGCTCACCACCTGATGGCCACACGCACCTGCACCGTCACTCCAGGTGAGAGAGGGTGGAGCTTCTCTGCCTTTTTTTGTTTTTTTTTTGGATAGGTTTTTCGCTATAGGGCGCGTGCGCTCGCCAGACAGACAGAGAGACAGAGAGACAGAAAGCGAGAAATCACCCCCCAAGGGGGATGGTCACACCGCAATCCCTTCTCCAGTCTCCTCCTGGGATCTTGGGCACGCACGCACACACACACGCCTGGCGTGAGTTTTAAGCCACCGGGTCCGGGACGCGAACCACGGTCGACTACGTGGGAGTCCAGCGACATAGCCATTACGCTAACTGCTGGTTCCCTTCTCTGCCGTTTTCAAGGAGAAGGGGGCTGATTCCTTCGCTCCTTTGGGACTTCCGAAAGGGCTGGGCTTCCTTATTCCAGGATCAGGGCAGAAACTCTCTCTCTTTGAACCTAGAGTAGGGACAAGGTTTGTCTGTACCGCAGGGTTGGGGGAGGAACAGGGACTGTCACCTTCCCAGGGGTCAGAGAGATCAGTCACACATTTTTTTCCCCCACAATAATGAGTAGCTGGGAATACTGAGGATACAGGCCTGGCCTGTGGTGTGTTGAGAAAATCAGAGAAATGAGTGAGAGAGAGCGCAGTTCTTCCCCACGCGGCCGAGGTGCCACACTTTCTGCACTGCCGCATTTAACAGCACACAGGCTGTGTTCTTTGAATCCCGGGTAATGCCGTGACTTTTTGGCCTGGGTTTCTCCCAACCACAGAGGCCCCTCGAGAAGTACTGCTACACCCGCTGGTGGAGGAGACACAGCCAGGCGAGGCAGAGGTGGCGCTGGAGGCCTCTGGCTGCCCCCCACCCTCGCGAGCATCCTGGGCCCGGGAAGGGCGGCCCCTGGCCTCAGGGGGCGCAGGACGCCTGCGGCTCAGCCCAGATGGCCGGAAGCTCTTCATCGGCAACTTCAGCCTGGACTGGGACCTGGGAAATTACTCGGTGCTGTGCAGCGGGGCACTGGGTGCCGCGGGTGACCAGATCACTCTCATTGGTGAGCCCCACCCTTGTGAGAAGCCAGAGGATCAGGTCTTCCATTCACCCTTCCTCAGTCCCAGGAGTCCAGGCCTCCAGTGGCCTTCTATGCCCCGCTAGGACCCAAGACTCCAGCTGCCCCTTCCCTTTCACGTCCCCAGGACCCTCCATCTCCTCGTGGAGACTCCAGAGAGCCCGGGATGCAGCTGTGCTTACCTGGGATGTGGAGCGCGGAGCTCTGATCAGCGGTTTTGAGATCCAGGCACGGACAGAGGGGCCGGACCTGGGAAGAGCCACCATCTACAGGAACTGGGTCTCCCTGCTCATCCTGGGGCCTCGAGAGCGGTCAGCTGTGGTACCCCTTCCGCATCGGAACCCAGGAACCTGGGTCTTGCGCGTGCTGCCTACCCTGGGGGGCCAGCCAGGAAGTCCATCTCGAAGCCGAGTCTACCAGGCTGGTGAGCTGGGGCTTGGCCACCCTCTCCTGGGCTTCCTCGGAGCGTTCTAACCGGCCGCGCTCAGCCTGCTGGGGCCTCCTCTCCTGAGCTGGTGTCCTGGGGCTTCCCAACCAAAACAGTAGGAACTGGGGGGCTGGACACAGACATGTGTTCTCTCCAGCCCTGGAGACCCCAAGTCCGAAATCAGGGTGTAGGCAGGGCTGTGGCCTCTCTGAGACTCTGGGTAGAGTTCTCACCGCCCTTCCCAGCTCTGGCAGTGACTGTCGGTATCGGCAGCCCCTGGCTTGCAGACGGACTTCTCTGTCCACCCCTGCTGTGTATGACTGTCCTCTTCTTCTAATGACACTGGTTGTATTGGACTAGGGCTCACTCACGACGTCACCTTGACATCTTCCAAGCTCCTATTCCAAAATAAGGTCACGGGCACAGCGGATTAGGACACCAACCTGACTTTTGGGGGATCACTTTAGCCAATAACATTCCCCACTGGAGTGTCTCGGTTGCACTTCCCAGCCCCACAGCCCTCCCCAACGTGACCCTGTCCCGTCTCGCGGCCTGTAACGGCAGCAATGCCCAGATGACTCCTGAACGTCTTAGCCCGGCCCTGACCGCTCCCTTGAACCCCAGACCTCGTAAAGGCAACTCCCTATTTGGCATATTCACTCTGGGTGTCTGATTGGCATCTCAACTGGTCACAACAGGCCTCCTGAAGCCCCCCCCCCACACACACACACAACCTTCCAGTCTGCCCGTCCTGGTGAAAGGCACTCCTCGCATGCCCCAACCACCCCAACGCCCGAGTTCCCAGCACGTCTGGTCAGTTTTTCCTTACAAAATGTTTTCCTCACCTACTTGCTTCTTGCCATCCTCATGCCAACACCCTGGCCAAACCGCTCCCTCTCTTGCCAGGCCAGCAGTAGCCTCCTGTCGGCTTTCTTTACCCACTGGCTGGCTCTCCTGTAACCGGTCCTCCGCGTAGAAGCCAGCGTTGTGCATATCAGATCGTGAGGCTGCCCACTTGGAAGTGAGGGCATGGGGCGATAGAAGCCCGCTGGGGCAGACCCCCAGGATCCAGCCCCTGCGAACCCCTCTAACTTCGTCCTCAGCCTCGCTCCCCCTCGCTCAGAGTCTTCCACCACACTGCCTTCATCCGACAGAAGACCCCTGCCTGCCTCTGAGCCTTTGCACTTTCTGTCCCCTCCTCTTGGAACACCCTTCCTCCAGGCTTAGCGTGACCGGCTCGTTCCTCTTCGGGTCTCCACTCAGATCTCACTTCTCCGGAATCTCACCTCACGATCCTTGCTACGTGCCACCCCCATTCCTACCATATCCGTGTTCACAGGGGTTCCCCCCCTTAGCACGACCTGTAACTGTTGTTTATTGTTCGGTATTTCTGAGTTTACCCTGAAACGAACGCCCCCACGGGGACCACGCGGGGAGCGGACGCTCCTGTTCTGCTCGCCCAGCAGAGCGCCTGGACAGTAAGGTCACTCGGTCACTTGTTACGTTACATAAACGGAGCGTGCTGGGTCCCACATCCCTGGGCTCTGGGTGGGGAAGGGCAGGGGGCTTGGGCTCCTGGTCCCTGGCTAAAGGCTGAGTTAGGGGTTGAGAAACTCGGGTCTCGCCCTGGTTGTGTTCCCCTCCTCTCCGTTCGCGCTGTTTCTTTCAGACCCCGCCCTGGGCCCCGGAGCCATCGCCGGCATCGTTCTGGGCTCTCTCCTGGGTCTGGCCCTGCTGGCAGCCCTTCTCCTCCTGTGTGTCTGCTGCCTGTGCCGGCTTCGGGGTGAGTGAGGGGCCTGGGAAGCGGCCAGCTCTAGCCAACCGGAGGGTCTCTAGCTAGAGACCCGTGGAGACCTGTCCCAGCCAATCAGTGCAGTCACAAGTATCCATCCCGACTTCCTACCTCCGAATCGGTCAATCAGAGTAAGGCTCCACCTCTCAGCCGGGCTCCCCTTGCCATTGGCTGGGGTGGGGTGGTGGGGGCGGC